TATTTGCTAGTACTGGTTTTCTGGTGTACCTAGGTAGCGTTGCAAACGAGTGTCCGGAACACAAGCATTAAGCGATGCGGAGCTACGGGAAGTTGCTACTACTCTACTTGCCAATGAGAGGCATGCCTGGACATGGCCTGTCAGGAACGTGGAACTGGAAAGGGCGTAGGTGAGTTGAGTGGGCCAATTAAAGGTCACCTCGATATGTTATGGTTTTATACTATACAGGTTCATCTTGACGAGGTGGGATGGGTCGCCTGAAAGACAAATATTGGTGGCTCACGATAAACAGCCGCACTTTCGTCACGATATGCCATTCGTGGTGCGTTCGGCAACTTCCAAAATTAGATGCAGGCTAGCTCCCGGGTTGTTTATCCTCCGCGATGCAGGGCCTCGAGCAGAATTCTAGCAGAATAAAGTGCTGCGCATAGATACGTCGGAGAAGGTATAGCGAGCCGGCAAGCAGGTGTTTTGATGCACTTCCGATGGTAGCGCAATTCTCATGTCACTCAGCCAATCAAAACATTAGCGTACCGACTCAGCGGTGCTTGCAGCACTTGCGCAATCGAGGATTTTGCCGACATGACCGATAGCTCGGCGAACATGACCTGGTCATCAAGAACAATTGATCGCGGGCTATCCGATCGGCTTTGCGGGGATGGAGCAATGATTGCTTCCAGGGGTTGAATCCACCGGTACATGCGCCAGCTCTTTAGGGCTGACTCGAGCGACCCTGCACCGCCGTGGTGCAGCGGATCAAGCCAGCCGTTGTGGAGATCGTGTGGCATACGATTTTGTGGATACCTAGGTACTCAAGGAAAGATCATCTCCATCGCTAATCGTTGCGATCTCACTCTAGTAGAGGAACTGAAGCAGGCCTTGGAAGATTGCTCACTGCCACTTCACCAGTGGGTAAGACTGGGCGCCGTTGTGAGACATAGAGTGGCAGCTTGATGACAGGCTTATCCCTTCCTTGGACGTAAACAAAGCTCCACTAACTGCGTCGAACCCGTTTCGTGACGAGCCCTAATCCACCCGCCACCGGCAAATTGAAGTTGACACCAACGGCACATAGCATATGATAACTGAGTCAGTTTAGGAATTGGGTAGATTCGGCGAGGTTACATGGCCTCGCCCGTGCGCTCATGTGTTGTGGCTTTTACAGCGGACTCAGCATTCTACACCAGCACGAAAAGCAATTATTGCTACCCGTGCACATCGTCGTAAACTACCTTGTCAAAATGCTCCTTCTGTTCCCGCACCTAGTGTTTACCTTTGTGCTGTTGGTCAGCGCCTGTTGCCCCACGACGAATGCTGTCTCATTAGACGATGCGGCACTGGATGCATTGAGCCAGATTCCGCCATGCGCCGTAAGATATACATGGCACAAGAGGACGATTGTTGCAGCTGACTGTTGCAAAGCTAGATTGTATCAACGAAAACCTGCCTGCCATTGGCTGTACGCTCCTCGACATAGAGTGCCAATGTAGTTCCAAAAACTCGACCAAGATTTTGCAACCGTGCTTGGAAAAGCAGTGCAACTACAACGAGACCTTTGGTATGTTCGTCGCAGTGATCGGAAGCGGTATCACTGATGTGTTTGTAGCTACGCTCCGCATTCAAGCCTCTATTTGCGACAAGCCGCACGATAACCTATCGAACTCCATCCGGATAGTGGCATACGTGACTGGAATCATACCAATCATCGTGATTGTAATGCGCTTTGCTTCTCGATATGTGGGCAGCAATAAGCTCTGGTGGGACGATTGGCTCCATCTAGCAGCGGTGGTAGGTGTTCGATGAACAAATCAGTGTCATCTTACTTACGATTGTGCAGGTCCTGGTCATCCCTATGACTGTTGCCCTATTATTGAACCTCAAAGCGGGACTCGGCCATCATATATGGGACCTGACATATCCACGTGTCGTCGCAATCGGCAAATGGAGTACGCTTCCATCTGCTAGCTCTGATACATAAGTACTGACTAGAGACAGCCTATATTGCTACCATCTTGTGGGGTGTCGAATTGCTTCTCATAAAGTACAGCATTCTCTGCTTGTATATTCGCATTTTTCCGAACGTCTGGTTGAAGCGCGCGGTCTTCGCCTTCATGGCTTTTACGGCTCTGTTCACCCTGCCCCTACTTTTCCTGGCTGCGTTCCAATGTATTCCAGTCCGCGCTATCTGGAATCTTCAAGAGCAAGAAACCGCGAAATGCATCGACTATATTGCCGTCTTGAGACTGACGGTTGTATACGAGATCATCGCTGAGACTATCCTATTCAGTCTTCCTATCCCGATTGTATGGAAGCTGCAGATGAAGACTGCAAAGAAGATACAGCTACTCATCTTCTTTAGCCTTGGTATCTGGTACGTCTTGTCTTGGTCTTGTTCGATTTGTGTAATCTAACCCTTCCGAAGTGTTATTATCATGTCCATCGTACGCTTGCCATTTTTACCAGGGGTTGTCGACACTATCGACCCAACCTACACAGTGACTGGCACATCGATTACTGGATTCACCTCCAGTGGAGTTGCACATATATGCGCTGCCGTCCCCACAATCAGAAACCTGATACGATACTGCCAGAACGGGTTCAAGATGCCCACCAATATTCCTTCAAGCTACACCACGGACCGCAGCACTTACAACTCTACGAGCAAACGAAGCTACAAGTCATTGCAGGACAAAAATAATGCCTCTAATACAGCACAACAGCGAGGCAAAGCCTCATCTCGCGATACAAAGGATCCATATCGCCTATCCGCAATCGTGGATGCCGAGAATGATGGCACAGTCGTAGAGCTATGTGCGATAAACTCGCCAACTCACGCGAACGCATTGAATGATGGGGAACAGGATGGACAAGAAGGGGAGATTCGATGGACTCAGCGCCTGGAAGAACAATTTCCTACTATTGTTGGCGAATCTCCGTCGCCGGGGTTGGACGACTCAGCGTCTCAAAAGTCCATACTTCGCCAACACCCCTATTCATAAAAGCAAAAGAGGAAAGATCAGTGGCATCTATGCCGTTCGAGAAAGCTGTTTCGCCATTACGTGTACATACTTTGAAGTTGCAACAACAGAGGCCGCTTTAGTGATGCATGCAGAGTGCTTGGACATGGTCGCACTACCTCTTTTTGCTTTTTGAAGCTTACAACAGATATAGAGAGACCATATCTTTGAGTTCACCCGCTTTTCCTGATATTCATTCGGGTAGCGCAGACTAGCGGACGCGTGCATGAGCTTGCGCCACACGTACAGTCGGCTTGATGCGACCATGGGGCGTATACTCAAGAGTGTAGTCAGGTACACCGGGTAGGTATGTAAGTGGCTGTCGCAAGCTTTCCAAACAGCTGTCTAGGTGAGCAATTCAGCCAGGCGTCTGCAATGCTTGTAAGGATTTGAAGTAAGAAACTGGCATGCGATGCGAGCTTGTGCACGCCTTGCTCTTTGTGGTCGTAGTACACATTTGGGTATAGGTGCTGCTTGATACGCTTTCTGTTTGATGGTGAGCAGTTCCCAGTGGCAGCCTGCAATCAGTCATTACGTGTTTCCGATTGGCCAGTGCCCAACCGACCTTAGCCAATGCAGCAGACGACACCTGAAGTTCGCGCTTGCGCCTAAGAATTGGAGGAAGAAAAGCGGAAGCTAGAAGCTAAAATCATAGATATCCTTACACAGAGTGTTTCAAAGTTTGAAACGAGAGGTTACGAGTGCTCTTCAGTAGCGGAGTTACACCGAGTTAGCCTCGGCTCATCGCCTACATTTGACTTGGTGGCCGATGGAAACCACGACGACAATTTCTGCTTGCGCAATGTGTTCACTCATGCCTCGAAGTGTCACCAACTAAATCCTGAGCGGCAGGAGCGAGAATGGCTAACCAACGTATGGAGCTTACTACGCCAGCAGTGACATGGCAATTTCGCACGATTTACCTTACTGCATACAACGTCCTCTTCGCATCGCTATGGGCATCGGTCTTCGTTCGAGCCGTGTCTAATGCTCGAAATAGCAAATTCGAGCTCTTTGATGCAACAGAGTCATATGCGCGATGGATGCAGACCGCTTCGTTGATAGAAGTCTTACATGCGGCGTTTGGTATGTTCATCATTCCTACCTCTTCTTGTGCATCTCATTGAGAACGATACCAGGTGTCATCAAATCTCCAGTCAGCACAACCGCACTTCAAGTTGTTACACGCGTCATACAGGTTTGGATGGTGTGGTACAGCTTTCCGCAAAGCACAGCAACTTCGCATGCTTATCTTGCCTTGCTCCTTGCTTGGTCGGTCGCAGACACCATCCGGTACCTGTATCTTGCGGTCAACATGCACGGGAAAGCCCCGAGAGGACTGGTGTGGCTCCGGTATGTTCTCAAGCCACCTCATCCGCTACTTGGTCCTACCTAGGTAGCTGACTGTCCCAGGTATACCATGTTCTACCCACTCTATCCGGTCGGTATCGGGGCTGAGTGGTGGTTACTGTACCGGTCTATTGCTCCTGGAGCGAAGGTCAGCCCAGTCATACCGCTCGTCTTCTACTTCTGCTTGCTGCTGTACATTCCAGGTATGATTCTTTTATGGCGGCTTGTTTATACTCGAAATTCACATCTTATTAGGTTCCTACACCATGTACACCTACATGATCAAGCAAAGAAGGAAGACACTGGGTTCCAGACACAAGGTCCAGTAAGCGCATGGATTTGGTTGCGTTCCAGCACGAACGTAGTCATATGCAAAGGATGGGCAGTCTTTTTGAACAGCTCTGTCTCCGTAACGGCTAATGTCTGGAATGTGGGAAGACACGCGCAATGGCATTAGCCCGGGACAGGCCAAGGCTGCAATGAAGGCTAGCGTATGTGATATGACAGGGCCGACACCAAGGACGAAGACGAAGAGCATGATAGTATTGCAAGAGGTTAGCATGACCGACGGTAGTAATGTTTAGAAAGAAGAATATATAACCATAAGAACCGGACCCACATATGGCAGACAGGTTAGATGTAGGAAACCTTGACGCCCATTCCTACGGTACGTCTCACCTTGTCCCACGCACTCCGTATGATGCGTAGTATCCTCTCTCTAAGAGGGCGCCTGCCAAACGCCAAGCCAAACGCCAAGAAGAAAAGTAAGGTACGGAAGAAAGCCATGGGATTGGAAGTCATGTGATGGGCCGTATCGGAAATCAGGGTGTGCATGTTTGCGAACATGGTAGACGCGCGGTTGTAGAGGCCGGGCGGCGGCGTGGCTGGTTTCTTGGCGGGCGTTCGGGAGGTGCGGGAAGACTGCGATGGCGTGGGTTGTGGCTCGTCTGAGGCGCGGGGTTGGCGTCTGTTTTGTTCCTCGCGTATGCGGCGTTCGTCTTGTGCGCGCGCCTGGTCGAGGCGCTGGGCCTCGGTTTCTCTGCGGCGCTGGTCCATTTGCTCCTGTTGTTGCTGGCGCAGCTTCTCTTCGCGGGCTTGCGTGTCTTCCTTTTCTTCCTTGAGAGAGTGCAGTGCGAGCAGGAAGGCTTCCTTGCGCTCTTGGTCCAGCACCTCGGACATGTCGATGAAGTCGCGGGCATAGTCCCATTCGTCGTTGCGTGGCAGGACGTGCAGGGTGTAGAGCTCGAGGAGTTTGATGCGCTTTTCCAGGTCGCGCGGGGTGTCAGACAGGTGTGCGGAGGCGTCGGGGGCCGGGTTGGCCGTGGCGGACAGGTACGTCTCGAGCTTCTGCTGGTTGAGCCGCTGCGAGGGCGCATGGGTAAGGAGGAGGGTGGCGAGGTTGACGACCACGTCGGCGTCGACGTCGCCCTCGACACCCGCATAGCCGTCGCGGACCACGTGGTCCCAGATGCTGCCGTCGCGACACTGCGAGACCAAGTGCTTCCATCGCGTGCTGCCAAAGGCGTGCTTGCCCTCTTCGGCGCCCAGCTCGACCACGGCGTTGAGGAAGGTGAGGTAGAAGCTCCACACCTTGACCCGGGTGCCGCGCGACGCCGTCGCGACGGGCGCGTGGCCCACGACGTCGGCCGCGTCGATTGGCGGCGGGCTGATGATGGGCTCGATGGTCGACAGCGCCTCGGGGAGGCGTCGCGTCAGGAACAGCTGGGCAGCCTGTCGGTAGGCTTTGGCCATCTGCGACGACTGTTGCCGTGACGTCGAGAGCGACGAGATGGATGATGAGAGGTAGCGCGACCCGCTGACGTCGTCGTAGAGCGTCGCCATGTTTCGATGTCCTCTGAGCTTCACGAGCGCATAGCGGTGGGTGACGGAGCGCCCGGTGTCAACATTTCGAACCTCGGCTGACCTCACCTCACCCGAACCGCCTTGGCGCGTCACCTGCCTGCGACACCCCGAGCTATCTGCGTTTGCATCAGTCTGCAGACGTCAACTGGTTGTCAAGGTGCTTGACACGCGCTTGCCTGCGTCAAGCTCAGAGGCAGGAGCTAGACACGCGCTTTGTCGCTTGATCCATCGCTGCTAACCTCCACGACCATCTCTACGCGTCTCGCCATCATGGACGTCGACGCAGCTACCTTCCCGCACCACTTGCTGGCCATCTTCATCCACATATCCGAGGCCGACTTTGTGTCTTTTGATCTCGAACTGTCCGGCATTCCATCGCGCATCCAAGACAAACCTGCACATGGCCCGGCCCGCTTCACCATGGAGGAGCGCTATGCCGAGACCAAAATGGGCGCCGACCGCTATCAGATCCTACAGGTAGGTATCACTTGCGCGCGCTTCGACTACCTTGCCAATACCTATGTCTTGAGGCCTTACAACATCAACATCAGCCCGCTTTTTGACGAGCGCATCGACTTTGAGCGTGAGATCAAGTTTCAGAGCGGCGCGTGTACCTTCCTCCTCAACAATGGTTTCGACCTGGGGGCTCCATTTGCCACAGGCGTACAGTACTTATCCCGCGACGAAGCAGAGCGAGCAAAGCGCATGGCCTGGGATCGACTCGAGAACAAGAATCCCATACCCGATCTGCAACTTAACTCGGCAGATGTCGAGTCGCTCGACTTTATGCGCAGGGTGAGGCAAGCCATTGAGAAATGGAAATCTAGCACTTCGCCGTCCTTGGACATTACAACTCATACAGGGCTTTCCACTCCGCCCGTAATACCCGTCATCACGCGATTCGAGAAGCGTCTCGTGCATCAGCTCGTGCGCGCAGAGTTCCCAGAGTTGGTGTCCATAGGACGCGGAGAGTGTATTCGTATCCTTCATCTAGACCCTGTGCGTGAGGCCGACAACATGCGCAGGATCAAGAACCGCGTCAAAGAATCCATTGTCCGACAAACCGGCTTCCGCTGGATCTTTGAGGCTTTAGTCAAGGGCGGCGACATCAATCGCGCGGATCCACTCTATGTCGCACGCACTACTGGCACCATTGTCACTGCCGACGCACATGATATAAGGGATCGCTACGACAGAGCCATAGAGAGACTTAAAATTAAGCAGCCCGTGCTAGTCGGCCACAACATGTTCACTGACATTGTCTACTTTTATCGTACTTTTGTCGGCCAACTGCCTGCACGTGCAACATCTCCTCATCTGGTCAACGCGCTAACTCTGTACAGGATACCCTGCAAGGCTTCCAGGATGCCATCCATGAGCTGTTCCCCAACATCATCGACACTAAATATCTAGCGACTCATGCTGAAGGCGACCTCAACGCCTCCCCTACACTACAGGATATTGCCGAGAATTCAAGTCTGCAGCCGTTGCCCCACATCGTCACGCATGCCGACCATCCAAAGTACCAAGAGACTGAGGCCTTCCACGAAGCAGGCTATGACAGCCTCCTTACTGCCACCATCATGATCAGGCTCGCCGCCAAGCTTGGTGCGGAGCGAGGAGAACAGGTTCCGGCGCCATTGCCCAGCCGTTCCAGTAACAAAGCGAAAGGAGTGTTGGCGGAAGATGTTCAGGATTTTCTAAAAGATGGACGCGAGAAGGTCGACCTGCCCGTTCCCCTGCCCCCAGTGGAGCAGCCTCAACCCAAGAAAACAAAGAAACAAAGGGCCAAGGCTAGGAAAAAGGAGGCAAGACAACAACGATTCGAAACTAAGAACCTATTCGACACGCTCAAAGCTCTGAGCCCTGACGCCGAATCTTCCTCGACTGAAGATGACGGAGAGGTTAAGCTTCCTGAAGATAGTGAACTTGCAAAATGGGACGAACAGGTTCAAGACGTCGCCGGGTCATGGGAAAATGACGTCTACGTCCAAGATAAGACGGGATGGGTGCCGTTGGAGCAGGTTAAGCGACAGCCAATGGAGCTCATCCCAGCCTTTGATTCAGAATTTTGGAACGAGTTTGGCAATACATTGCGTGTGTTTGGCACTCAAGAAGCTGTCCTGAAGATTGCAGAGTGGGAGGTTTGAAAGCCGCGCAAGCTTGACTCCAAGCTAATAAAAGGTGGAGTTGGCACCAAGGTTCTCATGGTTGTGTACAAGCTTGAAGAGCTAAAGTTACGCCGTGAGCGGTAGTAGAAAGACAAACATGTGTTGTCTCTAATGCGCAACTCGTCTCTGTGCCCATCATGGTGATTCATCATAAGAGACAGTGGTTTGAGTGCGTAACAAAGAGTTCTTCAATGTCTTCCCCTCTTCTTGTAAAGCATGGACACACAGGTTCGGCATTTGCCGCTCATTTCAACGCCCGCCCATGTCATCACCCATATACAGTCTGCTTCTACCGTACACGAACCCGACTTTCGGTCCAAAAGATCGCACCTCCTCAGATATACACGATTTGCCTTTTTCAATCGATGCATATGACTCTGACAGACTACTCATACACCATCACTTCGAACGGCCAGCTCCAACAGATCTCTGCAGCGGTCTCGTATGCTCTTCAGGACGTCATAGCGTATTCGAAAGATTCCGCAGGGAGAATGCTCGACTTGACATGTATGAGTCCGCAGTTTGACGGACAATGGTCTGGGGATCGGAAGAGGTAAAGGCTATAGGCAGGTTGTCAGGTAATATCAAATTGAAGGGTCGACGTCTGGTGCTGTTGACACAAAGTTTTCAACAACGTGCAGGACCAGCGCCTATGGCTTCTACTGGCTCGATGTTCTCCTCCACCGCTTTTGCCTGTGTCGTACTCGATGGGACGATCCCTCGGTTGTGCTCTTCGTCGGAGCCGGGCACATCATTTTCCTGGGGTAATGGCTCAAAGTGCGCATTGTTGACTCTTTTCCTATCGATGCGACGTCTCCAAGGCTTGTACAGCAGAACACTGAGACCACCGAAAACGATGAATGTACCGCATATAGCTCCGCCTGCATCCTGTTAGTGTCGAATTCTTTTAGTGCGATCAATCAACTCACCAACTATATCCCAAGCATCGCCCAGCTTTTCGACGCCTTCCCAAAACTTGCCATGCGGCTCGGCAACGTTGAGCACCAGATTGAGGAACTGCACTGTCCCGATGATGGTCGCGACAACCACGGTAATGACTGTTAGCACAATGCTGTAGTAGCAAATGGCGATCGGGTCGCGCGCAAGTTGCGTGCTTGTGTACAGACTCATCATCAGCGCACCATCGGTGGTATCGAGAAGGCACATGCCTGCTGTGAAGAGCAGTGGAAAGATCAAGATCAGCCAAATTGATGTCCCCTTCGTGGCTTGAATCGAACTTATTCCTAGGATAGCGATCTCGGAAGAAGTGTCGAAACCTAGCCCGAAAAGTACACCCAGAGGATACATCTTCCAGGGTCGGTCGACCAACTTGAAGAGCTTCTGCAATATCGGGAAGAGGCAACCGCCGCCCTGTATCTTGAACTGTTCGTGCTCACTACCAGGGTCGCTCGAAACCATCTTTCGCATCTGTACTATGAGCTTGTACAGAATGTAGATGTTCATAAGACCAAGGAGCAACAAGAAAGCAGCAGAGACTGAAGTGCCGATAATGCCACCGACACGCTCGAAATTGTCAAACTTGTCTGACACCGCCGCTGCAGTTCCTGCAACGATGAGCGACGTGATGATGACGATGGTAGAATGTCCGAGACTGAAGAACATTCCAACCGTCACTGGCCGCTGGCCTGCAGCAACCAGACGGCGAGTCATGAGATCGATCGCCGAAATATGATCTGCATCCAGGGCATGGCGCAAGCCCAGAGTGTACGAGAGGATTGCTGTCGAGATCAGTGGCGTATGCCAGTGCTGACGACGTTTAGCATATGCGATCAACGCCATTTGGATTCACCTTCTTTACTTACTAAGACTATACCAACTGCCGCCCAAACAAGGAGGTTTACAGCGACGAGGGTGATGATGATTGCGATTGCCGCGAATGGGAGCCTTCTGAGGTAGGGTGTCTGCGCATGATATGCAGATGCTTTGTTGGATGCATTGCGAAAGAATGATAATTTGCTCCCTGCATCGCTACCCACTACAGATGAGGGGCGGGAGGTTGCCATTCTACCAGATCTCGCTCTCGCGCGTAACAAAGGACACGAGAAATTGCGATCGAAGTGTGATAGAAAGAGAAAGAAGTTTAGAGAGGTACCTATAATGAAGCTTGGAAGGTAAGTATCGCAGAGCACCGTGGGATGCAAATGACGCCAAGTGGGGCTAGCAGCTGTTATCGTGACCCTCTGGCGGGGTAATTAGCATCATGGTGTACTAATAGTCGCGAATCCACAAAACCTCGGCATCAAGTTTTGACGATCAGAAGCTCGTATTGTATATGGTGAACTATCGTCGACTCTCAGATTTTGCGGAAGCATAGACATGCGTTGGTGCCACCAAAACCGAAGCTATTCGAGAGAGCCACATTGACTCTGTGCTGTTGAGCAGCATTGGCGACGTAGTTGCAGTTAAAGTCAACCGCCGGATCTCCTGGATTCTCAAGATTGAGAGTCGGAGGTAGGATGTTCTGGTCATCGTCAACATGTAGGCTATGGCAAGAACCACATCTGACTTACGTGATGCATCCCAAGAATCGTGAAAATTGTCTCCACGCTCCCTGCAGCACCCAGAAGATGTCCGACCGCACCTTTTGTACTGCTCACATTGATTTCACAAGCTCTATCCTTTCCGTCTTCGCCAAGCAGAAGCTCTTTGATGGCTCGGTTCTCCGCAGCATCACCTAGTGGGGTGCTCGTCGCATGGGCGTTCACGTAGTCGACAGCGCTTGGCTTGAGGCCGGCATGTCGTAGTGCATGCTTCATTGCGAGACGTGGGCCTTGGCCATCTTCGCGAGGTGCCGTCATGTGGTGTGCGTCGCTGGACAGTCCGTAGCCGGCGACTTCAGCATAGATGTTCGCACCTCGCTTCCTTGCGTGCTCGAGTTCCTGCACCTGATTAGATACGACAGGTACGGCAACCTTGCACACAGCGATCGCGTACCTCGAGAACCACAACTCCGGCTCCTTCTCCAATGACAAAACCATCCCGTTCTCGGTCGAATGGTCGACTGGACTCCATGGGCCGTTCATTGAACTCAGTAGCCAGGCTTCTAGCCCTAGCAAAGCCTGATATGGCGAGAGGATGAATGCATGATTCAGCTCCGCCGGCTATCATAACATCTGCATCTCCGAACTGAATCAAACGTGACGCGTCTCCGATGCTATGTGCTCCGGTCGTACATGCTGTTGTTGCCGCATGGTTCGGTCCCTATCATGGCTCAGCATCAACAAACATAGCCAGAAGGTTATAGCCACCTTGAACCCATAACGCATCGATATGTGACCTGCGGCTAGGTTGATCAACAGTCGTGGAACAAAGAGCGGGGACACCTTTCGGTAACCCTAGCACAATCAGTTGACAGTTACGTCGATAGCTGGGACAACCCACGCCTCTCTCATAAGCAATTGTGGTATCATACACATCGTCTAAACTGCCGATACCAGATCCCATGTACACTCCCTATCTCGGCGTGAGTAAGATGCAGGCTGGGCGGATGCTGAGCCTCCGTACTGTGACTTCAAGATCGGCCTCTTCCTTCGAAAACCATCCCGCATCATTGAGAGCTTCATCGGACGCCACCATGGCGTACTGTGCGAAGCGTGCCATACGGCGTTCATCCTGTAATAAAATTAACATTGTCAAAGACGAGAACGTTGGGTGGCGGCACATACGCTGTGGCTTAGATGCTCCTTTGTATTCCATTTGCCATCGGTTTTGCTACCCTGAGGAACCAGACCAGCGACTTGGCTCGGTAGCAGCGCGAATTCAGGGCTTCTGTCTTTGATGGAAACGATGCCACACTGGCTATCGATCAGACGCTTCCAGGTTCGTCGAACACCTATCCGCGTTAGGAGAAATGGGATCAAAGCAAGGTGAACGTCGCGTCACCTAGTCCAAGAGGGGTTACAAGCCCTAAGCCTGTTACTACTACCCGTCGCATCGCATGTCAGTAATAATGGTTGATGTTGGATACGGACGCGTTTGGGTGGGCAGAGAGAGCTAGTGTCACGCGCAAGCCACGTGTGGCGTCCGTTAGCGAGAGGTGCGTGCTACATAGCCGTGATTGCGTCCGTCCTTATTGTTTTAGATGCCTCCATTTCGCTCCCATCGCAGGAATTCTATATAGTGCACGCTGAGCTTGGTTTCCATTTACAGCCGTTGACTGGTCAGAGTACGCTTTGCGCCAGTCGGTTGATGCATTATTTCGACGATGACAAGTCGTATTTGGGCCAACAATATATTTCCGTGTACTATAAAAGCCAGCCAACAACCTGCAATTTGCTCATGACCATCGCAATCATAGTCTGGAGAGCTCAACTTTCCTGTTGTTGTCCAATCATCTAACTTGAAACACCTATGGGCAGCCGGTGACTCTGTCTCTTGATTGCACTCGAGGGTTTGGCGACAGTCTTCGTGTTGTTGCACAACCTCATGGGAGAAATCGTATGGTAACGCCATTTTGCGCAAAGCAGTGATTACCTAGGTATGTCGCCAAGTAGGTGAAAACAATCCTGGACAATGGCGGACAGGCAACACTCGGAGGGAAGCCTCGAGTCTTGTCTCGGGCATTGCGGGGAACTTTGGAAGCAGTGTCAAGAGTATCAAGGCTTGGGCAGACATTTCAAAAAACCAATCTAGGCAAAGGGTGATGGTTGATGTTTGACAGATCGAGGGCATCATACGGGCCAGGCAAATCCCAAAAGCACGTCATTGTCTTGGCGAGCCTCGTCTAGCGGGCGTCTGCAAGCAGCACTCGACACCAATGTGATGACTCCCCACAATGTGATCGATACGCCAGACTTCCTGCAACGCAGGCTCCACTCTTCCCTACGACTACACGTACGACATCGCGACTATGGATACCTATGGATCTGCCAATGGATCGACGAAGTACAGTAGGTGCATTTTGAACTTTTCTTGCCGTCGCAAGCATTTCGGACAGGCAAAGCAAGAACGGCTGGTTGCTGTAATTTGCTATGCGGAATGTTGAAGAATCCAGACGGGTTTTCTTGACGCGTTCTGGCGGTGCATGATCCAAACTGACATGCGGTAGGGACGGTGTCGTCGCAGCCCGAGAATCCGTTCGCCAAACTTATCCCCGACCAGACCTTTGCCGTCATCCCCCGGGTCACGCTCGAATCCGGCGTCGTGTTACACAATGTCAGCGTTGCCTACAAGACCTACGGTACCCTCGCGCCCAGCGGAGACAATGCCATGGTGATATGCCATGCGCTCACCGGAAGCGCTGACGTGGGAGACTGGTGGGGACCGTTGCTAGGTGGGCCTGGGAAGGCTTTTGATATATCGCGCTTCTTCGTCGTCTGTATGAACAGTCTCGGCAGTCCTTACGGGAGCGCAAGCCCGGTCACAGCAAAAGATGGCGACGTCTCGCTGGGTCCGTACGGACCCGAGTTTCCACTGACAACTGTAAGAGACGATGTCAAGTTAGTCAAGCGAAATCTGGAATTCGTACTTGGAAGCCGCTAACGGGCACAGTGTCTTCAAGCTCCTCTTGGATGATCTTGGTGTGAAGCAGGTCGCTGCCGTCATTGGAGGATCCATGGGCGGTATGCTTGTCCTCGAGTTTGCCTACTTCGGAAAAGACTACGTCAAGACCATCATCCCGATAGCCACTTCCGCTCGCTACAGCGCATGGGGCATCAGCTGGGGCGAAGCGCAACGGCAAAGTATCTACAGTGACCCCAAATACGACGACGGCTATTACGCATATGAAGATCCTCCATCGACCGGGCTTGGAGCCGCACGCATGTCTGCTTTACTGACTTACAGAAGCCGCGACTCGTTCGAATCAAGATTTGGGCGCAACACACCAGACCTATCCAAGAAACAGAGCATCAATACTGTACCGCGACCGACCACTCCGTCCAATCCCTCCCATGAACACTGGGCGATACACAACCACGGTCACAAGAACGCTGGCTCGCCGCGTCTGATGTCACGGACAAACAGCAGTACCGCCATACCCGGTTCTGCAGCCGCACATGCCGACCTCGAGTTCCATGATGCATCGGACCCAGCCACTCCGAACCTCGAAAGGTCAAGCTCGACAAGTAGCAACAGTCAATTCCCGCGCTCATCGAAGCCTCTTGCGCCGCACTACTTCTCAGCACAGTCCTACCTCCGTTACCAGGCCGACAAGTTCATCAAGCGTTTTGACGCTAATTGTTACATCGCAATCACAAGAAAGCTGGATACGCATGATGTATCCCGCTACCGCTATCCTGAAGGCGAGACGCCCGACACACTAGATCCAGTATCGGCCCTTCATTATGCGCTTTCCTTGATTGAACAGCCTACACTGGTACTAGGTATACAGTCGGACGGTCTCTTCACATTTGCCGAACAGAAGGAATTGGCCGCTTGTATTCCCAAGGCTACACTTAAGACGATCGATTCTCCAGATGGTCACGACGCCTTCCTCCTGGAATTTGAGCAGGTAAACAAACACTTACTAGGCTTCCTCAAGACCGAGCTTCCAGAGATCATGAATAGAACACCAAACGTAGAGACCGCAACAAGCGATTCTGGTATGGTCGCCACCAAAAGCAGCACGTTTGGTGAGGCTGAGGTCGACGATATCACGGCATGGTAAGAAGAATGGGAGCATTGAATTTGGCACGGCGTTCTGGGTTCAGAGGATAACTGCACTGGTCGGCGTACAAATTTCGGTATAGGCTTGAAAGAAGGCTGCATGAGTATAATGCGCCATGGGGCGTCCCGAGCTGAGGTTCAACCCCTCGTAGACACCAAGTATTGCAGCATGAGAGCAGCAACAACAACCCAATAATTCTCTCCTCTTAGTTTTCCCGAATCTTTCGACTCTGTCACAAACGGCTCGCTCATGTCCAATCTACCTCATGTCTGTACCCCGCCTTGCACGCTAATCGTTAGTCGTCTCCGCACGTCCACCGTCTCGCGTGCCCCTCATCCTCGGTTCGTATACACAGCGGATACTCCCCGCAGACCTTGACACGAACGTGCTTTATCCGATCTGGTCTCCCGAGTTGCAGTGCTGTAGGATCACGAGGGCTTCGGTGACGATGCACGGTAGATTATGAACGCAACGTCTTGACAATGGTAGAGGGATTATCTGTGTACCGAATTCGGACTGCTCATGCTTTTGCGACCCCGATCAGTAACCTTCGACTATCCGTACAAAGGCCAAGAACAAGGTCCGTTAAGTTGGACCCCCGCACATAGGACAGTGGGTGCCGGGTGTCCGTGTTGATACATATATAGGTGTATTCGGAGTGACTCAATGTTCCTCAATCAGCCATACTCCCTTTCTTCACATCGTCCCGAATACAGTAACATTATGCAACTCCCCAAAACACAAAAGGCGGCCATCAAACAAGGCACCGGCGACAACGCTACGATTACCATCAAGGAGATTCCTGTCCCAGAACCAGCTCCTGACCAGATTCTCGTCAAGATAAACTACAGTGGCCTCTGTGCCTCGGACAAATCCCTGCTCCATGATGAGTGGGACTTCAAGATGGCCGAATGTACCAAAGGCATCGCAGGCCATGAGGGCGCTGGCATCGTTGTAGCCGTTGGCGCAAACGTGCAGGATCTCTGGCAGCCTGGTAATCGCGCTGGTATCAAATGGATTGCGTCTGTATGCCGACGATGCGAGTTTTGTACTAATGGCCAAGACGAATGTCATTGCCCGAAGCAGCTGAACAGTGGATTTACTGTTGCGGGAACGTTCCAGGAGTATTGCTTAACGGATGCGAGATATGCGACGAGATTGCCTGATGGTGTCAAAGATGAGGAGGCGGGCCCGATCATGTGTGGTGGTGTTACAGCGTATGTGGCTTGCAAGAGAAGTAAAGTACTCCCCGGGCAGTGGATTGTCATTCCGGGAGCGGGTGGTGGTGAGTATGCGCATAGCGCTTTTGTGTCCTCTTCCGTCTTTCGCAGCGACGAAATTGAAACCGTCATATAAGATGATACTGATACCACCCAGGCCTTGGTCATTTTGGTGTTCAGTACGCTCGCCATATGGGTATGCGCGTTATTGCCATCGACGGCGGCGACGCCAAACGCGATCTCTGCCGCTCTCTTGGTGCCGAGAGGTTTATCGACTTCACTACATGCTCGGACATCACTTCCGAGATCATGAAGATTACTACTTATGGCGCTCATGGCGTGATCGTTTTCGCAGCAACGAAAGCAGGCTACGAACAAGCGCCAAACTTGCTGAGACCCAACGGCACGATGGTGTGTGTAGGTCTACCGAAAGATTCGTCGATCATTGCGGGAGCTAGTCCAATCCTGATGTGCCTCAATAGATTGAATGTTGTGGGAAGCGTGACAGGAACGCTAAAGGACGTTGAGGAGGTGAGTGTTGTTCTCGCGAGCTAGGTAGGGAGACTGCTACTAACTGGGCGGGTAGGCACTCGACTTTACTTCGCGAGGACTGGTACATCCGATTCTGAGTCATGGTGGTTTGGAGGATATTGATCGGTTCTGTGCAGGCATGAATGCAGGGAAGCTTGCTGGACGGGCTGTTATCAAGATCGCTGCGTAGATGGGTACAGTCCACGATGCTCTACATCAAGTAGAAATTTGATACCGCCATGCTACACTCAAGATAGATCTGCGCCAAACCCTACGTGGAGCAAATCAGAGGCGAATCATTTTTCTGCTCTGCTTGACTCCTTTCCTTCGTTATGATGCGGCTGAATGCGTGGCTGAAGGGTTTACGAGTGGCTGTGTTTTACAATGGGTTCATCTTAACTTGCCTCCAAATACTAGTCAGCGCTCTTTGGAGCACTACCTCGGTGACAGACCTACTCAAATGTAGCTCTCGATCTGCTATTGAAGAATAGAGTAACCAGCCACGGAGGCATGAGCGAAATTTAAGGTGATGGATGATGACGGTATGGAGAGGATCATAGGTTTCAAATCAAGACCAGGATACTAGACGAAGCTGTCGAGACAAAGGTGCCGGTTGCCACGAATATGCCGGATAGAGTGCAGCACTGCAGATATCCGCTGTGCGATGTATGATTGTCCTAGGGCTAATGTGAGATTGCGATAGTCATCTGACTTTTCACCGTACGCAAACCGTACCACGGAAATTGTTTATCGAAATGTCTGGCGCGGCGCAAGCAGGATTGCCTCACAGGTGACGCGAAAATGACGGAAAGATGACGTGAAAAGACAAAACGATGGTGTTCGAAAAGGAGCGGCGAAGAAGAAAGGAAGACAGTCGAGCAGGGAGAAGGTGTTGGCGATATCTGGAATCGGTCAGTATAGGCCACACGGCGAGCGTGTCCGAGGTACGGAGGACAAAGACAAGCGGCGAACGCGTGCCGCCTGCGCCAGCGTACTGCGAACCCGAGCCGTGGGATTGCAATTAGCTGATGACTTCCGCATGCCTAGGGCAAGAAGCCGTCATGTGTCGAAGCCAAGACAACGTCGACCTAGGGCGAGGCCTGACTCAGCTAAAGTGGCGCGGTTTGCGTTAGCAGGGCGCGGGGCGTGTCATGGTGGTGGAGCCGAGACTGTCAGCGTGGTGTGGGAGCAGCGAGAAAAGCGATGGTGTGGTGATTCTAGGCTCGGTGGGAGGTGCGCGAGATTCCCAGCTGAGGCAAAAAGCACGCAGGGTGGAGTGGAGTGCGGCGGACGACGGATCGCTTGCAGAGGTGCAGGACTCGACTTGGCTCAAAGGGGCGGGTGGGCCTGTTTCTAGGTCCTGTTAGCGGCATCTGGAACGTCTTCAGGCCTTGACGAGTTATCCTTGCATGGCACCAACAACTGCAGGGCAGCTGATAGCAACAAGTGATGCTCCTCTTCTCCGCCAGCTTCCATTCGCACTGCCCTGCGCTGTCAATCTCTCCGTCAGACTTGTGTCGCATCTTCCTCGGTCACATACGACGCGCCCCGTCCGCATTTCATTCCACAGCAGGACCACCCCTGTCGTCGCTTTTAGATATACCCAACGCGCCTGCCACCGCTTCTTTCGCTTCTGCAGCTCCTGTGGCGTCATCTCGACAGCGACGCTGGACTTTGTCCGTTTGCTCGACTTACTTTTTCCTGACGAGAACAAATCACTGTGACACATCGAGTCCGGGGATTCCATCGTCAAACCACTACCGCAAGCCACCCGTTCATGGCGCCTTCTCCTCGATAGGTCCATGAGCTGCTTTGGCACCACACGCCGCTTCCAAATACAGCGCCGATACCTACACTAAAGTCGTGCCCTGACCTTGGCCTAGAGCCCTGCAGCCTTGCAGCCATCTACTCTTCAACGCACCGCCCTGCTCCATAGACTCGACCACTGAAGCCATGGCGCAAACACGTGCACCACGGCCTCGCTCGACAAACCCTTCGCCGGCCACGTCAACATATGGATACCACAACACCTACCACACCCACGCCCAACTGCCCATCGGGTCGCCGCCCTCGTATGCTCGCGCAACCGATCCTCAGACCCGTCGCGTCCTAGACGAAAGGACAAGGAGAGAGAAAGAGGCGGTGCGCAGTATCCAGTCACCCCCGCCCTACACCTGCACCGTCGAGATGGAAGGACTTGTTGGCATCAAGCAGGAACTATCCTCGCCATTCCAGGTCTCGGGACATCGAGAATGGCATGATGTCTACGCCATACTTCGAGGCACGCAGTTGAGCATACACCGCATAAAGTACCCGCGTCTCCTCAGCAAGAACAAAGAGCCATGCCCAGGTCGCTTGTTGCGAACCTATTCCTTGCAGCATGCTGAAGTTGGCGTGGCATCTGATTTCAAGAAGACGTTGCTGATACCAAAGTCTCCTTTCGCCCACCTGGTGCCCGCTGTCGCTCGGCCTAAACTGTACGAAACGGATCCACAGCTTTTCGAGCCTGTACGGGAACATGCCATCCGCCTGCGCCTGGAGTTTGAGCAGTTCTTGCTCTGTCCGTCGACCGAGCAAGGCATGCTCGACTGGGTGGAATTGTTTTGCGCCGCCATCGACATCAGTGCACCCCTAGAAGATCGCAGCGAGCCCCGCTACAGAAGTCTTCCTCGAAGGGGCAGGCGTCAACGCATTTTGGACAACGCGCAGTTCGGAGAAAACCTCGAGAGTCTGACAAGTCTAGAAGCCGGCCGACGCATCGTTGCACAACAGGAGCAAATTATCCGCCAACTTTACCCACATCTGGCTGGCACCCGCGACTCGGGCATCAGCCACGCAGCACCTGCGCCAGACCTGGAATTCGACGACTTCGACCCCGAAGACGTTCGTTTCCCGACGCGGCATGCGAGAGAATCGCTAGCACCCATCTCTTCACACGACTACGAGCAAGGTGATGACGAGCGTCCTGAGAGTGAATCATCGTCAGATTCCAAATCGGCACCCGCGATCCGACCTTGCCCTGCGCAGACCCTGCGTTACCGCCGCCGTTGCGCTCCAGTGTTGCTTGCTTCTTCTCCACGTGTCAGCGACGTAGTCTTTGGAAAAGGCCAACGCTTCCGCATTAGCGTCAAGGCGCACATGCTCGTCGACTATACCCCGCACCCACCCCGTTACGACGTACATGGTTTCGCGAGGTCCAAACGCTCTGCAAGGCTTACAACGATCCACAGCTCACCAACAGCCACCGCAGACAAAACTGAATCCGCTGCTGCCTCATCAGAGAGACCCAGCTCGCCTATTCGTGGTGTCAGTGATGATTCCATCACGTCAATCACTTTCGGCGAAGACCTAGGCCCTATGCGCTCCAAGTCAAACAGCGATGCTACAGGCCCATCAGGCCCACCATCGCCGTCTGGCATGTCGCAAACAAAGATGGATACCGCGCGTCAACTGAAGACGTTAGGAAAGCGACGAGCGAGCGAGGACAGTCGCGAGACAGGCCTGAGCGCCGTCACAATTGGTGCCGGCTTGATGATCTGAGCATCCATCATACATTTCATCTACACATACTCTCTTATGTCTTGCTGCATCACTGGGCGTCAACCGAGCCTACACTCGGCTTAGAGGGACCACTACTTTTCTTTTTAGCGTTTGCACTGGTGTCATAAGCCGGAAGGAGGATATACCCATTTTACTTTGTACGGCATATAACGAGAGCGTTTGCGTTGGGCTAGCAGTCGTAGTCGACGGCAGCGGGTCGTCTGTATATAGGCCATGCTGACATTAATCAAATTCATCTATAGAAATGACCCGTGCATGTAATCTTTCCATAGCTCCACCTCTCAAGCAAAGTCGCGATCCTGACACGTCTAAAACTTGACATAGCCCTTGTCCTTGACAAACGTAGCTAACCACGGTACATCCCTTTCTTGCTGCACCAACTGCCCATAGAATGCGCCGTGCGCAGGGCCATCTACACCGTTTAGCATGGGTGCACCATCTGCAAATGTAAAGTTATGAAGTCAGTGTATCTCTCATATGCAGTTTGTATAGTCATTTTCTTACCATGCTGTCGTTGGTCTGCATAGAAGAACCTATAACCCGATATTAGCAGAACATCCCATGTCCAACCCACACGTTGACAGCAAGAGAAGTGTTGCGTAGAGGGGAAAAAACAACTCACCGATACCCCTTCTCCTTGTACAAAGCATCTGCCATGCCAACCCAATGCGCACTCGCGCTCTTTCCCACACCCAGTGTCAAGAACAGCGGGACAGGCGCAATGGTCTGATTCAGCGTATTGCCAGTGTAGATAAACGTCTTCTTATCCCCTGCATGCTCCTCCCCCATGCTTTCCCAGCTCTTGACCGCTTCCTGCGCTGCTACATACGGACTCACGGTATTGACATTCAGGTCTTTGGCAAATTGGTCCTGGGATATGGATAGCACGCTCTCTTCCACAGGGGGAGGCGTCAGCGCGGCAGCGTTCCAGACCACAACGCTGGGCGATGTGCCGTACTCTTTTAGCACGAGCGAGAAGAGGTTGGGAATGGATGTTGGCGCCGTGAAATCGGCTTTCAGGGTGAGGATGCCCGTGTCGGGGTTGATGCTGTTCGTGCCGGATCGGGAGGCAGTTGCAACGCGGTAGTTCAGGATGGTGAATGAGGTGCTTATGGCTAAGCCTACATTGGGGCCTGCGCCGAGAATGAGGGCGACGGGTTTGGTGGACATGATGTTGGATTGATGCTGCCCAGGTGCGTGAGACGGTACGATGAGACAAGAGACAAATGGGGCCAAGATACAGAAGCGGTTGGTGGTCCTATTGAAGATGCATGTGCCCTCCGTTGATACTTATATGCAGTGGGACGGACAATCAGGCAGCCTCCCATCCATCCGCCAGCTTCCAGAGTCCCGTTGCATTTATAATCTGTGCTGCATACCTGTATGTCAGCACAATCACCCCGGACTTTGCTTTCGTACATTCTCGCTCTTTGCCAGTCGTTGAGTAGGTGAGAAGCCAAGAGGACGAATCCAGAAGGAGGACGTCGGGAACGTGCATGAAGAGTTACAAACAGGACGTAATCGGTGCCAAGCGAAGACTTACCAATCAACATGACTTGGCGAATCGGGATATTTGGCCGTTTGGTAGGTTGAAATGCAACGGAACTGTGCCGCGCAGGAAGCGAAATGGAAGAGAACTTGAACTGAGCGGCAATTCTCTGAATCCGCGGAATCGGCCATATCGTACAATACACCACTCATACCTATAGTCACCATTCATACGTCATCCAAGTCATAAGCATCGTGCTCAACCCTCTGCTTCCTCCCTTTCCTTCCCTTGCTACCCCGAATTTTCCGATCCGCAGTATACCGTCCATCGCGGTCACCAACCAACAACCTCCCTCCCTTGCCAAGCACCTTTGCGGGACCTTCCTCGACGGTCCTTCCATCTTTCTCACCAACACCTATTTCGATAGTGACTTGCTTCGCCTTCTTGACTTTCCTGCCCTTTTTGTCGAATTCGTCGTTTGGCCGGCCTAGACGTACGTTGCGTGGTATCCGCGTCTTTGCGCCGAGGGCCCAGAGGTCGCCCCAGCGGACTTTTCGCGCGTCGCGGTAAGCTTGCTTGCTGAAGGAGCGTGGGACGGTCCAGCGCTCTAGCGTGCCAGCAGGTGTGCACACATCTAAGATGATATGGCCTCTGCGCTTAAGTGCGGGGAGCACAAGACGTGGGAAGGTGAGTGGATTAACGTCGGTAGATGAGGACATGACGGGCTCTTCGGTTCCTGGGTCTGATGATGGGCGCCATTCGTGCCCTTCAAAAGCTGCGGCGGTTGATGCTTCACCTTGCACGAACCCTTTGCCGAGGATGTCATATTGTGGAAGGCGCTGGTCGCGTCCACGCTGGACGGCTAGGTAGCTGAACTGCACATCCTCATGGTTCTTGTCTTTTGCATTCAAGATACGTTGAAGGTATGGAGGGCGGATGTACCGCTGATTGAAGAAACAAAAGTCCTTCCTTCCTTGGCTCACACCTGTAGACTGATACATCGGGCACGTGCTGTGATTTGTGCATGGTGCAACGATCATTCCCGTCTCCTTCTCAGAGAATCTAGTCTCTTCGTCCGGTTTTGACACCTGAGATTCGAGTAGCGTCTCGATAGTTTCTGAGCCGGGAGAAGATATGTGTTTGTTTAGAAGGTACGAACGGGCAGCGGCTACAACTTCAAAGCCTCGTGGTAGGCCTTTCTCAATGAGGATGAGAACACCACCCTTGGGGTTCAGAAGAGACCAGTATTTTTCGACTTGCTCTCTGCGAAGATAGTCTTGTCGGATGGGCCAAAGTGTATGTGGCGCAATGATGACGTCATAGAACTTGCGCGGTTGCTGCGTGTTTGCATCGTCGGCCGCTGTCACAGTCTCTGGCAGTCGCGGGATAAATGTTGTGTTGTCCAGCAACTTGCTTGCACGGTGGCGCAGTGCATCAGATGCGGTCAAGACAGTCGCCTTTCCCAACGGGGTAGCGCCAAGCGACGTGTTTCCCGAGTCCTCGTGCATACGTTGCCATTCGGCCTCTAGCATCTCGTGCCATGCGAGCACGCCGACACCACCAGAGCCAGCGTCTAGTATGGTGCCACCCTTTTTGTCCTGCAGCATGTGTTGCAGCCATCCTGACCCTAATCGGCGACGGACTTCAACCATGGCGCTCATGACACTTGCGTATGTGCCTGGCTGTACAGAAGCCATGTAAACATCAGCCTCGATGTTGCCCATATCTGACTGCGAAGGGTGGAGCGGAATTGGTTTCTGCTCGTGGCCCAAGCGTGCAGGGGTCGTGCTGGCGGAGTGAGGCAAACCACGACCGCCAAAGATACGGTTCGCAGACTCGGCGAGGTGTTTGTGGTTGGCGCGCGTCAGGAGCAGCGCGGTAGGGTCGACGAGCGAGTTCTTGGGCAGAAAGACGGTCGAAGGCGATGGCTTGAAGCGGCCCTCGATGGTCAATGGATGTGCGCGCATAAAGCCGTCTTCCTCTTGCACTTCATCTACGTCCTCCCAGGCCTCTGCTTCCTCTTGTTGCAGTCGACTCTGCTCGTAGATGTCGTCGTGGTATGCCTGCGCCTCTTCCTCCCTGCGCGCTTCCCATTCTTCGGGTGTCATTGTCTCTTGGTCCGGCTCAGCAGCTGCCTCGTCTTCGGCATCGACCTCTTCCGCGACTTCAATCTCTTCGAGTTGGCCGTCCACCCCCTTCCTGAGCAAGACGATGGAACCGTCAGGCCCCTCCTGCTCGACAATCTCGTCGTCAACTGCACCGTCAACGCGTTCCGCCTCTTCGGCAGCATCTGCAAAGACGGCTGGGCCATACAGCCTCTTGTATATTGTGTACTCGTCGTCGGTCAAGTGGTCCCGCGGCAACGTATCGCCGAACTGCTGCCTTGCTCTCCGCGCGTTGACTTCGTGGCTAACCGCGTCGGCTGCCGAGGGAGGCAAGCCTTCAGTATCCCGTGAGGCATGTTGCTGCAATTGCCGTCTTCCAAAGGCTGTAGAGAAGGCTCTTCGTGGCGTTGTAGGCTCCGGGGCGACCAAGCGTAGCGGCGGCGGCGCGTGCCGTGTCTGAGAGGGTAATCTTGCGCTACGCGCTCGTGAAATGGCAATGTTTAGTCGGCACGATGCACATACTGACGGTAAGCCTCTCGTCTTCAGCATCATCGAACGCCGACCTTGATCTTGTCGAGCAATGCATTCTGGCCGCTCGAGGCAAAGTTCGCCGCATCTTGAATCCAGGGTCCACGCGCTAAGCCCTGCCCAATCCAGATGCGTGCCGACATGTTTACTCAGCCTGCGCCCCGCTAGAGATCCAACTATACAACATCGTTTAGTTGTTTCGAAACTATGAACATGGGCCTGGGGTCTGGAGACTTTGACTATCCGTCGCTGAAGAAGCTACTCGACAACACGACTGCTGAAGTCCTACTTCCGGGCGACGGTGAAGAGTACGAAAAGAGCATCGAGAGGTGGAGTGAGCACTGCATAAAACGAGCTGTACGTTCCCCTAGTTCTGTCTTTCTATACAAATGTTTCTGCATCATGTTCACGCACTTATACGAGCAAAGGCTGCTGTAGTCCTAGTCCGGTCCGCCCATGACGTCTCCGCGGTTTTAGCTCAAATACGCGAGCACAGAATCCCCTTCACAGTCCGCGGTAAGCACATTAGAGTACAGCCAAGTTACATGTGAGAGAAAGACTCACTTCCTGTAGGGGGAGGCCACAGCACGTCTGGAGCTGCGTCTATCCGAGATGGCATCGTCATCGATCTTTCCAAGATGCGCAAGGTGATTGTCGATGTGGATGCCGAAACAATCAAGGCAGACGGTGGGACTATCTGGGAAGATGTCGACGTTGAGGCTGCCAAGTTTGGTCTTGCAACTGTAGGTGGCACCGTCAACCATACCGGCGTGGGGGGCTTGACTCTGGGAGGAGGCTATGGTTATCTCACAGGAAAGTACGGCTTAACGATTGGTATGTGCATGAACCAGTATCAATGAGTATTGATAAAGTCTGCGTTACTGACATCTTCCAGATAATCTATTGTCCGTTGACATTGTCCTCGCTTCTGGTGAACAAGTTGTCGCGTCAGCCACCTCAAACCCCGACCTATACTGGGCTGTGCGAGGCGCAGGTCAGAATTTTGGAGTAGTGACGGCATTCACATTCCAGGCTTATCAACAGAGGAGCCATGTGTTTGCGGGGCCGCTGGTTTTCCTTCCGGATAAGCTACCACAGGTCGTTCAGTTCGCAAATAAGTTTCATACTACCAACGACGGCAACCAAGCGATGCTCATGGGCTTCTCTGCCCCACCACCGGCGAATGCTTCGGTTGTAATTTGCCAGATCTTTCACAACGGTAACGAAGAAGAAGGAAACGCCTTCTTCGCCGACTTATTTGAACTCGGCCCAATAGCGAACATGACCGCCATGATTCCCTACCCTCAACTCAATAGCCTTCTTAATCAAGGAGCCGGCTTTGACGGACGTAAGCTTTTCGGTGGTGGCGCTTTCAGACTCCCCATGGACCCAAACTTCGCTATGCAGCTTCACGCTGAGTTCAATGCTTTTGTGGCGTCGCATGAGCGAATGAACGAAAGCATGATGCTTTTTGAAGCCGTTCCTTATAAGAAGGTCATGGAGATTTCCAACGACAAGACGGCTTTCTCAAATCGTGGCGATTACTATAATGTGGCTGTGATGATGAAATGGTAAGCCAAATCAGCACCACAGAGGAGTTAATATTAAAGAGAGCACAGGTTCGATCCTTCACTCGACGACAAAATTCGTACGTTCTCACGAAACCTTCTCAAAAAAGCCTCAGAAACTGCCTCGGAACGGTCAAAGGATGGTGGTGTAGGTCAGTACGGCAATCATGCAGCTGCCGATGTTGAGGCGAACGAGATCTTCGGCGCAAACGTGAAGCTACTCGAGGAACTTAAGCACAAGTACGACCCCGATAACCTGTTCAGTCATGGCACAAAATTGACTCCGCGTCCCTTGGTAGTGGTGAATTGAGTACTCCCACCATATGTGCATATATACAACACGGGATGAAATGTATCGAATCAGATGCGTACAAAATTCAGTCTCCGGTTTACTACTATCTATTTACCACGATGATGCTTTGTTTACCAACAGCTCAGTACATACTTTTGTGTACTTTCCTTCGTCTCGGCTCGAGGTCGGAGTTACCACATCGGATATATATCTACACTACACGACGCGACAGTAGCGCCGGAAATCAGCAACCCCTGACGTCACCCCATACCACCGGCCTCTACAATATCACCAAGCTTCTACGCCACACCCAGATAACCCTGCACGACTAACCGTATCCACTCCTTTTCAGTCTGCGCTCGGGAAATAATGTCTACCGATGCACCGACAGTATCTGAATCAAAGGACCAACGTTGTGGGGCACGCGATCCACGGAGATTCGTCCTACACGTGCTTAAAACCGAGCGTGCAGACTCTATCAAAATCGCGAAGTTCGCCGCATGCAAGTTCTGTATCTATTCACTTTCCAAGCTTGAAAGCCGGCATAGCGACACTGTTTCCCTCACCACAACCTTCTCTATCGTTGAAAAACACAGACGAGTTATATTTATATACATGGAAGTTCACGCCCTACACTAGTAATCATAGTCTGCTACACGTATTTGACAGCATACCCAGTCTTTGTGCACGCCTCTTCTCAGTCTCACGTCACCATGGAAAGCACAAGACGACCACGAGCTCAAAGATCATCCACGTGCCGATCAGTATCCCGACAACGGCGACTCGACAACGCACCATTACATCGTATCTTGTCCAGTCAATTCCCAGACGATCATTCGGTTTATCACCATGAAGATGGCGAGGGAACCCATGTCGACGAGGACGCCAGTTCATTGCACAAGACTGAGACTGAAAGGCGAGACGAGAACTCGTCCAGTGACAACGACGACGGCGGCGACAGCGGCGATGACAAAGGTGGGAAAGAAGTAAAAGACGATACCGCTCAAGAGGAAAATACGACTTACGAGGAGATACGGGGTGGTATTCCATACGAGCGTGATGTGGTGGCACTATCACGTTTAGAAAAGCAAAAGTCTACGCGGTCCGTCAAAGACCCAAATTTGGTATATTCTACCTGACAGACATTGACTGCTACTGTAATATCTAACATACATAAGGTCAAATGGGATTCAGAGTTCGACCCACATAATCCAAAGAACTGTAGGTTTGGTCTCCCCAACTAAGCACAGATAAGTTGTGGTCTAACAGCTGGTAGGGTCCATGAAGCGGAAATGGGCAGCAACTATCATTGTCTCTTCTTTTACCCTCGTCTCGCCAATATCCTCGTCCATGATCTCGCCAGCTCTGAGCAGCATCAGTGCTGAATTCGGCATCACAAATGAAGTCGAAGCCCAGCTTACCTTATCCATCTTCGTTCTGGCGTATGCAATTGGACCGCTGTTCCTAGGCCCACTATCGGAGATCTATGGACGAGTCATCGTCTTGCAGCTGTCAAACTTGTTCTACTTGGCTTGGAATTTGGGATGTGGATTTGCTCAGACATCTGGCCAGCTCATGGCATTCCGATTCTTCAGTGGTTTAGGCGGATCTGCACCATTAGCTATTGGTGGTGTATGTACTCTCTTCCTGAAAAATGCCGTTGGAAGATAAAACGCTAACTGACTTACTAGGGTGTTCTTAGCGATTGTTTCCTTCCCGAGCAGCGTGGCCGAGCCATAGCAATCTATTCACTGGCTCCATTACTGGGCCCGGCTATCGGGCCTATTGCCGGTGGCTTCATCTCTCAAAACACGACTTGGAGATGGTGCTTCTACGCCACCACGATCTTCACAGCAATAGTGCAATGTCTCGGGTTCTTCTTTCTGCAAGAAACATACGCACCAAAGCTCCTTGAGTGGAAGCGAAACAAACTGCGTAAAGAGACAAGCAACGAAGAACTACACACTGAGTTCGATAATCCTGATCGAACGCTTGCAACAACTATTAAAATCGCCATGAGAAGGCCGTTCAAGCTGCTCATCACCCAGCCCATTGTGCAAGTTCTAGCTTGCTACATGGCCTACCTGTATGGCCTCATGTATCTGATGCTCTCGACCTTCCCCAGCTTATGGGTCACGCGCTATGGCATGACTATAGGGATTGGTTCTTTGAACTTCATCTCCATGGGCATGGGCTTCTTCCTCGGCACACAGATCACCGCACCCCTCAATGACGCCCTCTACCGCCGCCTAAAGAAACGCAACAACGGCATCGGTAAACCAGAATTTCGCATTCCAATCATGATCCCTGCGTCTCTTCTCGTTCCAATCGGCCTTTTTTGGTATGGTTGGAGTGCCCAAGCGCAGGTACATTGGATCATGCCTAATATCGGTGCTGCGATATTTTGCGCGGGTGTTATTGTGGGGTTTCAGTGTATACAGACTTATCTTGTTGACAGCTATACACGGTACGCTGCGAGTGCTATCGCGGCGGCGACGGTGCTCAGGTCGTTGGCTGGGTTTGGATTTCCGTTGTTTGCACCGGCCATGTATGACAAGTTGGATTTTGGATGGGGAAATAGCGTGCTGGGCTTTATTGCCTTGGCTTTGGGTGTCCCAGCGCCGTTCATGCTATGGAAGTTTGGGGAGAAGTTAAGGAGTAGTAGCAAATTTGCCGCGGGCTGAAGGTGTCGCAGAAGCGTCAATACCCGCCTCGTAATGTGGAATGCAACACGCGGGGGCTTTATGTTGCGAAATCAGATTAGACGAGAGGGCTAATCGAAGTGGAATACTTGAAAGCATACTAGAATAGCCGCACGCTATCAGTCGTGACTTGAGTTCGTCATTCTAAACACGTTCTTCGTAAAACACAAGTCGTGAGCGACAAATTGTCTCTATCATTCCGCCCTTTGTCCACAGCCTAGCTATGTAGAGCTGTTTTTCCAGCTGGTACTAAAAGTATGTCCGACGCGATGGCCGATGACGCCAACTGCGTGTCCATCTCCGTCGTCAATTTCGTAATGCAGCGATACATTGAGCCAGCTTCGTCAGTTCCACCTCTCAGTCTTCCTAATCACACCCTGGAGTATAGCAATTAGAGCATCCGTAGATATATCCAAGATCGACATGTAAAGAAAGCATCGTGAGATGACGGCTGCAGCTTTATCGTCACCCTGAGCATCTTTGGGGCGTCGGCGACACACCAGCCGGGCAACACTCCAGCGAAGCAGCTCAATGCTATCTCAATCATCCCGCATACCAGAGCGCGCCTTCAATGACCAGCCCAAACTAAGACCAGGCCCCAGTCTTAGTCAAGATCGCATTCTCCTCTTGGTTGAGGTGTCTGACAAGCTACCTAGGGAGTGGGGGGTGTGCGATTGGGACCGTGCCCTAGCAACCCGCGAACTTCCCCGCATAAACACACTTTTGCTCGACCAGTACTTGCGCCGCAGAGGCCGTTACTCTAACAACCTTTCGCGTCGAGCCCTCAGATACTCTACATAATACCGAAATGTCCGACGAAGATCTCGAGCAGATAAGACGCGCGCGCCTGCAGCAGTTACAACAACAGGGCGGGGGAAGCGGAGGACAAGGAGGCGAAGGCGCCGAGCAAGATTCGCGAAAGTAAATACAATTATACACGAAGATCAAGGTTTCTTACTAAGGCAGAGTTACAGGCAGCAAGAGGGTACGTTTTCAGAATCTCTCCTGGCGCAGACATGCATCACTTGACCACACACTCCCCCTTCGCCCACTCGTCCAAACCCCGCCGTCCACTAGCAACCACGGGCTAACCCTTCCCATCAGCCGACCAGCGTTCCTCCATTCTCTCACAAATCCTTCTCCCCGAAGCAGCCGACCGTCTAGGGCGTATCCGCCTTGTCAAGGAATCGCGCGCAACCGACATCGAGAACAGGCTTATAATGCTTGCGCGGACTGGCCAATTACGACAGAAGGTTACAGAAGATCAGCTCAAAGAGATACTGGGGGCTGTAGCAGAGCAACAGGAGAAGGAAGAGCAGAAGATTGTTGTCAACAGGAGGGGAGGGAACTGGGACGATGATGATGAGCTCGAGGAACTCATGAAGGATGTATAGGGAAGCGAGGATAGATAAACAAAGGGAGAGAGACACACACAGATGCTGGGTGTTGCATTAGGCGATGCTTCTGGGACATGCAAGGCAGGTAGTCTTGCGCATGAAAGCTAAGGTACGACTTCTCATGGCAACTTCACGATGTGCATCAAGTCGTACATGATTTGTGACTATTATCCATCTGCCGGTGGTTGTTCAATACTCGCTACTTAGTGCTCAATCATGACGAATGATAACCTGTGGATTAGTGAAGAAGCAAGCACAAGAGAAGAACAACATCAGATGTGCCGTTCGATAAAATCGCAGCCGCAAATGGGAGTAGTACCACCATCCGCTTGGTGCAAACAGTGTGCGCAGTTGAAAAGAGGGTTCGGACGAAGTGAGGCTATAGATGCCGCGTGAAAGACTCAAACAGTGTTCTAATGCTAGGTAAGCGCGGGTTTCTACCAGTATACCATCTTCCGAGTGTTATCTGAGGTATAGATGAACAAGCCAACCTGTCGCAAAGGCCATGACAAGCATTTGCATGTAACCCCCAAATGAAAGTACCGGATTCGATCACAAGCGGGATCTTGGAGTTGTCGTAGGCATTGAAACCAATGATCTCACGTCGCTGCCATCCTGGCCATACCCTCCCTATCCTCCGCGCTCAAGGTATTTGTCTTGGCAGCTTCCTTCCATCTCTCAAGCTGCTCATACTGCTCATACTCCAGCTTGCCTTTCAATAACTTCAACAGCTTTGGTGTGAACTTTCCCGTTGCATATACGACACCATCGTACTGCTTTGCGAAGAGCAAGATAACTAGCGTTAAGAAGAGTACGGGGCCGTCGGAAGCTTTTTGTTTCTTGATTCGGCGAAGCATGTCGTCGAGCATCGATTGCTTGGCAGCAGCCAGCGAATCTGTAGATGGATGGTTGATACCTTGTTTTTTATTGAATTTCTCCAAAGCTGAAGATAGTGATGTATTATCCAGAGGCGTCGTGGACTCCAGCACACTCGAGAGCTTGGTAACATTCTTTCTTGTTTTGCGGCTGAGGACTAGACCCTGCGCTCGTGCTTTGGCAATAGTATCGGGTATAAGGTCCTTGTGTGCGTAAGTTGCAAAGACCTGAGCAAGCTGGCTGTGCACTTTCTGGTCCATGACTGAAACTAAGCCGGCGCTGTATATCCGATATCGGGTGAGCATGCGATCTGTCCAGTACATGGCAAACTCCTCTTCATTCAGTGTTTCGAACGAGGACACGTGGAACCAGAAGCGCTCTTCTAATAACTTCTCAACTGGTTTTTGTTGGAGGAGAAGGCGCTGAACAAGGCCTGTGGGAGGAATCATGTCTTTGATCTTGTCTCGAGTGAATTTCACGTCTTCCACTAGGGTTGGATCGTCGTGTAGACTTTGCCATTGTGCCTTTGCAGCTTCTTTTGCGTAGCCAGCGAGCTCGTCGAGTGCTCCGTCTCGGCGCCTTTCAGTGAGTATCAGAGTGCCGACGCGCACTATCTTCAGCCCTCCAGTGGTCTCGGAGAAGTGAGCGACAATGAAGTTCTTGGCTCGGCCGGCCACCTGCTCCCTTATAGTTGGTGGAAGACGGGAGCCAATCACTTCGGTGACATCAAGGGTACAACCTTCTTGTTCAAGGATGCGTACGCAATCTTGCTCTAACCTGGAGATCCAGATCAGTGATACAGCGAAAGAGTCTATTACCTCAATGCCTGAGAGTTGCTGGAAGTAAGACAATGCGACTTGGGAAGACGGGAAAAGTTCGATGAAGTCGGAGGCGAATCTTTGCACGTCGAGATAGGCAAGAGCGCCGGACTGCAGATCGTAGACTGTGGTATCGCGTTCGGATTCTAGATATCGCTTGGGTGTGCACAAAACGCTAACGTCAGTTTCCTGGATGTTGACCTTGGAAGTAAGATTTTCAGACTGCAAGAGTCGCTCGAGAGTATGCAGAATGAACCATGTAGGGGGATTGTCAGGCAAATCAGCTGGTTTGATATTGAGAGTCCTGTACAGAGTGAGCATGCGATGCATCTAAGGCAAGTCCTGCACTTACCGGACATCATCGACCGTCTTTTGAATCATACTCTTTACTATGTCCGCGATCTTGTGAGCATAGGCCTTAGTGTAGATGTAGCCGTTAGTTTCCAGGACATTATAATCTTGACTGGACAGGAGGAAGTCAAGACTCTTGGAAGAGACACGGTGCTGGGCAATGAATTCGGCCTTGGATGCCAGTCCCTCAGATGACAGGCGAGTGACTATCGTGTCTCGCTCATCTATGGGAATAATGCTTTCCTCGTCCGCGCTGAACAAACATAGCTTGGGGTGGCTGTGGACTAGTTGATGGACAAGTAATCGACCTATGTCGAGGTCGTTGGCCAATGTGGAAACCGGTATCCGCTGTGTCTCTGGTGCATGCTTCAGCAAATGTAGCCAAGAGAGATTACGAACGCTCACCTTTGGTCACGCGGCTTCTGAAACGAGCCTGGACAAACTGGAGCGTAACGAAAGCATGGCCGCTGGAGGACAGCGCAAGCCGCGGAACAAAATCGGAAGTGTCTTGCGGAGGGAAGAGGGCGAAGATGTCCTTCACATCATGTGCGGTAAACATGCCAGCTGGACGTTGGGTAGCGCTGCAGACTAGATTGCCAACATGTACTGTTCAGGAACAGTGCTGTGAGCTCGAACGGTTCGGCGGCGTTGGAGTATATAGTGCAAGGGAAAGCGTCAGAGGCTGGATTGCGCTGATTGGTGGGGAGCGGGCATCGGGCGGCAGAACACCGGGATTGAACAATGTTGTGGCTCATGGTCGAGTGCGCGCAGACATCCAACCCATTCCGCCCACCGCCACCATGTCTCAATTCCGCGCGGCCAAGCTGGACATTGGATGTTTCGCAAAGATTCGCAATATCCGCGACCACACCAAGCGGAAGGTGTACTCGGAGAATGAGCCAGAACGGCATGCGCCTCTGCACCTAATGCTCCCATGGCGCAACGACTGACGACGACACAGACAAGCTCTGCGATACCTGATCCGCAATACCACGCTTCCGCAACGAGTCCGCGCGCAGGCTCAGCTCCAGCTCTCGCAGATGCACTGCTACACACGCTACACCCAGATCAAGAACAGGTGTATAATGGGCGGCAAGGGCCGTGGTGTCTTCAGCGACTTCAGAATGGGCCGAGTATGCCATGGCCTTCTCTTCGCGCGATGCAGGGCTGACGATGCTACAGTATCAATTTCGCGTAAACGCTCTCGCGGGGAACCTGCCGGGCGTGAAGAAGGCAAGTTGGTAGCTGTGCTTCTACGAGAACCCGACTGGTTCCATGTACAATCCCACCTACTTTTGGCTACACATGTAGCCTTGCACATGGCCGCTCTTCGGGCGCACACTGTGAGACATTGCGTGCGAAATCTTCGTGGTTGACCCATCTCACTGTCTACTTTGCCCTCCCCTCGCTCTCTCACCGTGCGAGACACCCTTTCCTAATCGGTTTGCTCTCACCACGCGCTACAAACGACGGCAGCGGCTACCCACCGCGCCAGTGATAAAAGCCGACTTCCGTAGCCATTACACCTACAATCCCTACTCCCGCAATAGCTCTGGCTGCCGTTTTCTAGCAACTCACTTCGCCACTGTCTACGGTCCATAGACGCCCTCAAGCATCTACGTCAGCATGTTCCGCCGCATAGAAGACACTCTGGAACCGGATCCATCATTTCCAGCCGACCTGAACCAACTTGGCTTCTTCATCAACCTCTCAGGTCATGTCCGTATGATCGACGCCCCCGAGAAGGCCTATGTCTACCACGCGACCAACAATGAGCGCGTCAACGAGGTGCGCCGCGAGGCCATGCAAAGTACATTCCAATCTCCATTGAAACACTCGCAGCTAACACATCACAGCCTGCCAGCGCAAGGAAGCAGAGAAGCGCCTGTCCTACCTCGGCCTCGAGTGCATCCACCTTCCCGACTTCGCCATGACCAAGCCCAGTGGTCCACATGTACCTATCCTTGCTCCACCGCCTGATCTCCTCAAGACGCGAAAGCGATTGATTGTACTGGTAAACGACACCATGCAAGATCTAGGCATCCTGGCGTATAGACAGTTGCAGCGGGAACTCGGCATCAACGGTGGCTCAGTCGTCAACTTTGCCAAGGAGATGGTCAAGTGCTCGGACACTGACAACACCGCTGAAAGGGACGCGAAGATTTTCAAAGATGGTCATGTTCTCCAAGACAAGACTACCACTCCTGCTTTGATTGTCTTGAACGCGGGCCAGCTGCTGTACTCGCACAAGTACGACCAGGCCATGACTCTACGCAGTTGGTCCGCCATGCCACGCAAGTCAATCGCCCACGACATGGTCCGCATCCGTGACAACGAGAACCGTGTTCCAGGTCATGAAAATGCCAAGAAACATGTCAAGACTGTCTTTGACGAAGTCATCTGCAACCCCGATCGTGTTGCAGCCGACGCAGAAGTCTACGTCATCGCTATTGAAGACGGAACGGAGAGTATCTTGAACCTGCTCACGCACGACTGTACGTCTCCTGGCCCTGCTTTCACCTGAGGGGTTTACACTAACGTATTGTTATAGTCGGCAAGTATGGTACCCGTATCACGGCCATGGCGTTCATTCACTCCTTGATCGACGACTCCCAAATCAAAGATGAACAGATTCGCGCTTTCATGCATCAGCGCACACGTCAGTGGCGATTCAGCGATCTGACATGCAACCCCCAGCACTGTGTCGACTTACCGACTGACTACAATCGACAAGTCAACGGGCCTTGTTCTGCAGACACACCATCAACCATGCAATCAATCAAGCACATGTCTTGGCACGTTTCGATTCCTACAGGCCCAGTCTCGGCTCTAACGAAGGCTTTCCACAGCCTCGCTCTCAGCGTCACCTCTTCGGCCGGGGCTTCCACTCCAACCGCAACATCAACCTCTACTAGTGGAGAAGAAAGCACAGAATGGTCCTCGGGTCAAGCTGTCATCTGCCCTACCTTCGCGGGCGGCGACAATTCGGTTGGTGAATGCATCTTTACCTACCCTCCCACCCAGCATGCCATTCTCTCTTTCTTCCAAGACGTCGCGCAAGACCCGGTCCACTATCGCAACCCACCTGGCCTCCAAATCTTTACCGAAGCCCCCAAGCCCAGCCCCGAAAATCCTCTTGCACTATCTTCCGACCACGAGAATGACGCTGGGCTCTACTTGCAAAATCTCTTGCCGCAGACGACGTCTGAGCACGCTGAGCTAGATGAAGCTCGCGAGCGGCTCGCCGAGTTACAAGTTGCCTTGTCTGCCTGCCCTACTGATGCTGCAGAGCTAGACAAGGGTCGCGTCAAGTTGGAAGTTAAGGTGAAGAGCATGGAGGCGAAGATTGAGTCTTTAGAGATCAAGGCGCTGAGTCACGGCGGACTGGCCGCGGGTGAAGTGGTCGAGAAGCGCGAGGATTGGAAGCCGCAGGTTGAGGGTCCCCAGGTACCATTTGCAGGGACCATGGTGGATAGTGAACTGTTGAAGGCGGCGGGGCTGATGGAGTCTGTGGATGAAGAAAAGGCTTTTGTTTGAATGGCGGATGGCAGCTCTAATCGTGTAGCGAAGATGAGGGGATGATGGCAAGTCCCGGATGGAAAGGACACAAAAGCGTTTGTTTTTCAGCCATCCTACGCACCACGAACTCCTCCTCTTGTCACGTCAGCACGAGGAAGACGTCTTTTGGCTGCTCGGCGATGGAGTCAGGGTCATCTACCTTATTTGCATCATGTCCTTGAGAATAAGACCACAGCCTCAATCTCGCTTATCGTTGTCCTCAGGCCTAGGTTCAGTACTCAACTGATTCCCGTTATAGAACTGTTGAGGTACATCTCTTGCTCGCTGGTCCGCCAGCGTTCTTACCCTCATCCCACCCGAAGTTGCCTGATCCAGCACAGGATCGTGACTGGGATCCCGGGTAGGTCTGCTGCCCATGATACGACCACCACCGCCACGGTTGTTACTGCTACTACCATCACCACCTTGCTCGTGTTGCGCCCCGTAGCCTATAACGGAGCTGATGGTACTCCCCACGTAGCCAACAGTAGAAGTGAGAAGCCCAAAGGCCCCGCCAACGATGCCCGTCGCGGCTCCTGCTATACCTCCTCCAGTGGCCCCGGAATACGCATCCGAGTAACCCTTTACTGGCACCAGTACCAACGTCGCACTGGGCGCTAGATCAATATCGCCCAACTCGACGGCCTCGTCGCCGGCAGAGAGCTCACGACTGGGCGATGGAGCGAGTATATGTCGGAAAAAGTAAGGAGGCAGTTGTTTGTTGTTGATGTTCTCGTCATCCTGGGTCAATTTCCCAAACTCAGTGTCAACCCAGGACCGCACGTCAGTCTGCAGGGTGGCGGAGCGAGGGAATGTAGAGCGAATGGTGCGGCCATCGAACAAACGAACATTGAGAGCGACGGTTTTGGAGTTGGTGCCTCGCGAGGACGTTGGCACTGGCTGTGATGTGTCGGGGGCTCGTAGTGCGCCCTTGTTCCTCTCCTTCTCGCGTTCTGCTTTGCGCAATTCGGCATCTACTTTGCGCGCTGCTTTGTCGGCTTCTATTCGTGCTTTTATACGGGCTAACTCTTCGGCATCTTCTCGTTTCTTCTTTCGCAGGGCGTCGCGGGCTTCTTGTTGGGCTTTGGTGGCGGATGTGGATGGGAGAGTGGGGTGCTGGGAGCCTGTGGCTTTTTGCTTGCCTGGTGTGTTGGACGTGAGGGTGGGTAGTGAGGTTTCGGGGAGGCCATACAGGTCGTCTTCGGCTGCAGCATTCGCTATACTATTCGTAGGTTCTGGTGTGCTTGCGTGTGGGGGAGAGGTTGGTGCTGCGTTGGAGGCTGGGATGGGATTCGCTCCCAGGACGCGTCGGATTGAGTTGATAAAGTCATTCCTCGTGGCATCGCTCTTGAGTTGAACTTGGAGTTGGCCGTTCTGGATGACGACGAAAGTGGGCACGCTCGAGACATCGGAGAAGGCAGCCAGAAAACCGGCTTCGGTCGAGCCCGCTTCGAGTCGCAGGACGACCGCTTTTTGGTGGAGCAGAGTCGACAGCTAGACATGCATCATCAGCGCGTGTTGTGAAAACCTGGCCGAGTCCCAACGTACCCATCCGCTCTTCAGCCACTCGCCTTCCCACTCGTGGCTCGTGGCGCCGTCGTCTACGCAGCTAGTCAGTCACGATGCTTCCCAGATTCCGATAGTGCACCGTCACGTACCTCGAACGAAGCAGGCAACGAGTTTCTGCTCCTGAATGGCAAGCGCGATTCCGCTCTGTAGGCTGCCTTGGTGGAACATGTTGGTGGGTGGTGGTGGTGGCTCCATGTCTGCACTACCGCGGGGATTAGCCTGGGAACCTGCTCGGCGCGTGGTACCGAGGGCAGACGACGCACGAGCATGGCCGGCGGCCGTCAGCGCCCGCTTCATTCAGTGGCTTATTCACACGGCGTTGGAGATGTGCAAAGGGAAAAGATGCAATAAACAGTTCTATCGGTAATGCCAAGCCCATGAAACCTCCACGCCGAAGAAGGGTAATGCTGCAATAAGCCAATGCTAGACTCGCTCTATATCCAAACATCAAGCCAGAAGGTGCTGCACAGCATGTGCCCCTTCTGCTTGGTCCCGCCGTTCCGCTTGGGCTTCCCAATGATGCCGACCGTGTACAGTGTCGGGAGTGAGTGGCATATCCAAGTTGTTGGTCTTTTCCCAGTCAGGCCAAAGCCGTGGCCCCTGGGCCCTGGTATCGGCTTATAGGATGGTGCACTTCTTCTTGTTCTTGGTCGCCGACTGCTGGGGACGGGGGCTGAGGACGGCGCTGGGGCAGGTTAGGACAGTCATGCAGGGAGCACATGGGGACGTACCGAATAGCTTCGTCAAAGACACTCTTCAGGTTGCGCTGTGTGAGGGCGGAGCACTCGAGGTACTTCTGCGCCTTGATCTCTTTTGCGACCATGACGGCCTGCTCGTACTGGATGGGCGCCATCTTCTTCTGCCTCAACGACTCCTTGGTCGCCTCATCGTCCCTCAGATCGAGCTTGGTGCCGACGAGGATAATGGGAACGCCGGGCGCGTGGTGATCTATCTCAGGGTACCACTGGCAGGGGGTTAGCGGGTGCGCACGCGGCGTGGCGGGCGGCTTGGTACCTTTGCCTTGACGTTGTCAAACGACGGGGGGCTGACGATGGAGAAGCAGATGAGGAACACGTCCGTCTGGGGGTACGAGAGCGGGCGCAGTCGGTCGTAGTCCTCCTGGCCGGCCGTGTCCCACAGCCCCAGGCTTATGGGCTTGCCGTCGACCATGACATTTGCCGAGTAGTTGTCGAAGCTGGGCGAGTTAGCTCACGCGTGGTGCAGCGAGGGGCGGGCGTACACGGTGGGGATGTACTCGCCCGGGAAGGCGTTGGTCGTGTACGAGATGAGGAGACATGTCTGCGCGGTTAGCAGGCTGCGCGGCTGTCGCGGGGGCGGCGAGGCTCACCTTGCCTACAGCGCCGTCGCCGGTCACGACGCACTTGAGCGATTGCGTCGCGGGAGCAGCCATGGTGCGCGAGGTGTCGCCCGGGGAGCGTGGCTTTGGCGGACCCGGTTCGGCGGAGCAACGGGGCGGCGAGGGTGGAGCGGATCGAGTCGGGCGCAGGGCAGGGCAGGGCAGGCAGGGCGGCAGGCAGGCAGGCAGGCAGGCAGGGCAGGACAGGGCAGGGCACGATGCAGATGCAGCGAGGCGGCGCGTGGGAGGTAGAGGACGCACCGGCGAGACTGCGCAGCACGATGCGGGTAGCAGGTAGCTTCTGTGAAGGCGCGGGAGCTATCTGCAGCGTAGGGGGGCGTTTTATCGCTTGGCAGGCGGCGGGTCACGAAGCGAGCTGGAGCTGGAGCGACCAAGCTCGACGAGCGCGTACCCTCTTGAAACCCTTGTGCAACACGCTGCTCACGCCTGCCATCCGCCGTGCTAGCTAGCTACGGGCTCGTGCTACGCCTACATGCTTCAATACCACACAAACAGTCCCTCGCCGCCTTGCCTGTCCTCGCCCACCAGCTGCTTGCACACCACCAGCCTGACCACGGCCTCGTGCAACTCTCTCATGTCGAGAATGCCGCGCTTCTTCCCGTCAATGTACGACACGTCCACCACGACTCGTTTCAAGTTGGCCGTCGACAAGGCTCCCTCTTGCAAGAGCGCCATCAACCGATCCGGTGTCCCAACCCCGTAGTCGATTCTGCTCTTGCTCAAATGCGCGACCTGGTCTGCGAGCTTCAGGTGCTTTGCAAACAGCTTGGCCACGCTGGGCTTCTCGACTCCCTGGGTAGGTAGCCCAGACTTGAGACATCGGCAGACGTCTGCCGCTCGCATCCCAGAGCCCGTCACTACAAGCGTGTGGGGAGCGCCGGGCGGCTTGCATGGCGTCGCCTCCAGCGTCCCTGCCTGCTTCTTGAGGAAGGCAGGCAGCTTGTCTGTAGTTCGCGGCTCCGTCCAGCTGCTGCTGTCCTGCACCGTCCGCGCTGCTTGACGTCAGCATTTCACGACATGTCTCGGGCGCTCAAACACTGACCAGAAATCCACAAGTCCTCGAGCTCGACACTGCTCAAATCCTTCCCGTAAAGCCGTGTTCGTGCGTTGACATAGTCGGCAACAAGCTGACCATCCATGCGCTCGAAAGCGTGATTGACTCCCAGCCCTTGGTCCAGATCGTCTTCAGAAATCGCCTTTGCTTTCTGCTTCTTCTTCTCTTTGCGTTTGGCCTTCTTGGCTGCTTTTTTGCCGTCCTTGCTGGCTTCGGGCTCGGCTTGCCGTTTCCTTTTCTTCGACGACGCGTCAAGATCGAACTGGGCTTCCATCAGGGGCACGCCTCCCTCTGATTCCGAGTCGGACATGGTGAGACTAGTGTTTTGTGTGACGGCGCGACACCTGAGTTCGCGACGGAAAAAGTTGCAGCGCATCGAGCTTCAGCTGCTATCGATAAGCGGCTAGCGCAGATGCACGCCGGGGAAGTCGCGCTACCTTGGTAAGCGACGCGTTTCCCTGACGCCCATCAACACCCGCCTGGGCACCCACCTCGCCTCTCGCATGCCTCTCTTGCCATGGCCGAGTCTGCGCGCAAAACGCAGCGCCTTCCCCTGCGGCGCGACTTGCAGCCGACACCCGACAACGACGCGTCCATGGAGCCCACGACACCCTCCCACCAGGCCACTAGTGTGGGCCCTACTCCAGCAAGCAGACGGACGCCAGCTCTTCGCACACCAGCATCGGGCGCGACACCGCGGGGCGGACCGGCAGCTCGCCCTCTTCCTTCGCGCAGGATTGCACCCACTACTCCCCACGCGATACGAGCCCTGAGAGAGCGAGCCAATGCGGCAAGGACCCCAGGAAACACCCGGAGACGAAGCGGCCGCGTACAGAGGGAGACACCGCGGGACATACTGCGCCATCTTAGCAGAGGTACGGCTCTTGCAGCCGCCATCTCTGACCTAGCTAACTGTCCACGCAGCCCTCGCTCGTGAACCGCGCCCGGCCGAGCCCTCCCCACAAGCCCTACCTCGGC